ATGCAGTTGTTCGGAAGTGATCCGTACCAAGTAGCCGTTTGAGGTCATGAAAAAGTGTTGAAGTGAATTGTGGACCTCGGTCAGTGGTAATGGTAGCGGGTACACCGAATGTAGCGATCCAGCTATCGACAAAAGTTCTAGCAACGTTTTTGGCAGAGGTGTCGTTGATCGGAGTGGCCATGGGCCAGCGTGTGAAACGGTCGACACAGGTGAGTATGTGTGTGAAACCTCTGGATGGGGGCAACGGTCCAACCAGGTCAATGTGTACATTTCGAAAGCGTGAGTCGGGAAGCTGAAAAACACCAGTTGGAGAAATGGTGTGTCCGTGGATCTTGGTCTTCTGACAGTCGAGACATTGCTTGGCCTAAGTGCGTATCTCCTCTTGCATATTCGGCCAAACGTATCTTTGTGACACAAGTTTGGTAGTCGCTCGTGTGCTGGGATGAGAAAGTGCGTGGAAGTGGGATTGAAGTGGGGAATTGAAATAGCTGTATTTTTATCCTGGATATCCCCAAGTGAATGATGACTTGCGTGGTCTGTTCGGCTGAAAGGTATCAGGGCATTGCACTTTCTCAGGGAGTGCGGCCACTCGAGGGTGTGTAGAATAGTTGTCTGGGTGGAGGGATCTAAGTTTGGCCCCATCCATCATGCTGTTGGTATTAGTTGGTGCATGGAATGGTCTGCCTGAGTATATAGTGGAGTTGGAATCCTGAATGAATTTCGAAGGAAAAAACTCTCCAGCTGTAACACTCTGCGCCTAGCTGCCATGCCACCCAGAGGAGACATGAGGGCTGGGGTACTGTCAGGTTGCCCTAGCCTATACAGAATCAATCGAGATACGAAGGTTTTATTCAAACCACGGACCTTCTGCTCGGTGATTAACTGGGAAGTGATAAATCTCAGATATTCGTCTAATCCCCTCCTCCATGTGTGGATTACTGACTTACCAACCATTCTCACTAACGTTGGATCGCTTCACGAAAAGCCCCGTACAATGAAATTTCGACGCACTTGTGACAAATGCATCCAGGTGTGAAGGGAATTATACCCGGCAGGGTACTGACCGCCGGTCGTCGCACCGTTTGTTTTTCAGGCACTCTGTCTCCGAAGCACACAACCATTTTTGCATCACTACTTTGCACCCCCGAATGTTAACCATGTACATACAGAGTCTATGTTTAAATAAATATGATTCAAATTAGATTTATTTACCATTGATACTACGTAGGATCACAGCGGACTACACTACCGGCTGCCTTTTGCTATAGGACCAGGTGAGTCTGTCCGGTAACGGATTGCGAAAAGGACGAGATAGAATTTTGTGTTTGGACTCACTGCAGCATATCTCGGGGGTAGTATGGAAATTGATTCCCTCTTACAGTCGATGCGTGCAGAAAGCTGAATTTCGTGGATACGTGTATTAGCGGGCCGTTCGGCACACGTATCAAGTCACAAATGAACGTTATTCATCGTAAGCCGAAAAGTAGACATAAAGCAGCTAGTAGAAGGAAACAGAGTTTGGAAGAGTAAATCTTCTGGATGATGATAGGTAACCAAGGCGGCTAATCGATTGCTGTGTTGCACCGAAACGCGCAATATGGCCAAGACCTAGATTTCACTAAACAGTCAGTCTGCAAAACGTACCACCTTCTCTTTGGACTCGCTCTGTGAAAGCACATGTGCGTCCGTAGTTGTGGTATGGTCCGTGGATATGGGCGCAGCTGGTGGACTCTCATTAGATCCCCCCATGCTTTTCACCGGACCTACCATCACTTACATTCAAACTTCCATTTTGGAATGGTGCCCACCAACGTATCAACCCCGAATCCAAATAGACCACATTGCTATCAGTTGCCTGTGGTGAGGCTCGATCAGTGTCTGCCGCTCCTTGTCCGCCGATGGTTGTCAGCGCGCTCTTCAGGCTTATGCGAAACGCGCACATCTCGCTTAGGCATAAAGAAGTCCGTGGATCATGAGGTCAAGCAAGCCTATCATGCCGCTTTCCTCCAACGTGTACTGGATGGTCCGATATCGAATATTAGCAGCCACTAGAAACAAATATTCAAAGCTCTACTCAGCCGGAAATCCAATCAGGACTGTTGATCTTCAACCTAAATATGGACTGTTGATATGGAACCCCTTCAGCCCCATAGATGTACGAGTGCATATCCCTACTCAAGCGTCATCGTGCTCCTTGTCCTGATGAACTTCCACCTCTCTGTTCAAGGATGGCGGCGAAGCCTTCAGGGAGTGCTTGTCCAGCCAATTCGCGTCTACTCGGGAGAAAGAGACCCTCACAGACGACTGGAATGAGTCTATAATAGTGCCCACTTACAAAAAGAACGCTTGTAGTGAGTGTAGGTGTCAGCTTGGCTTCCACTGTAACAAGGCTTCTGACGCGACTAACTCTTCATCCTCTCACGGGGACAAGATAGCCCAAGTGGTTAGAGAGCGAATTTGCTGATTGGAAGGTCCGTGGTTTGAACCCGACCTTTGCCTCTTGAATCCCCCTGTCTAGGCTTGGGCAACCTGTCAGTATCCCCGACCTCGTGCAACCCTCGGGTGGCATGCCAGTTGGCACCGAAAAGGTGCTACAGCTGAACAACATTCTCTTAAGAAGCCAGTGAACATAACAGATGACAACCACAAGAAGTTTGACAAGGACACAATTCCTCTTAATATTGGTCAGAGAAAGTAGATACCGCAAACTGATTTCTCGTACCTACAATCTGGCAAAAATCATCCTGCTAAAGCATCAACAGAAATCGCAGGAAAGACGACTTAAAAGCTACCAAGAATAAGGTTACCAAAGTACTGTATACAGGGCTGAACAGTTTTTTATGGCGACACGCCAAGCTAGCTCGTGACTATCAAGCGAGTTTTCGCGCGGGTGGGGGCTGCGTCGACTACATCTTCGCACTCCGTCAGGTGTTAGAGCAACGTCGTATTCAAAGACCACCCACAATCTCTGTGCACTCGGCCATGTCGATTGATCAGTGCTGTTAATCACACTTGCTGACCAGAGAACGCCCCAGGAGTTTGTGAACATGATCCGGTCCTTCTGTCAACATCTGGGCATGTGAATCCGTAGTAAAAATAAAAATAAAATAAAAATAATAAAATAAATTAAATAAATAAATAAATAAATAATTAATAAATAAATGAATCCTTAGTGAGGTCTCCAAAAGCTTAAGAGGGGTCCGACATGGATGTCTCCTGTCCATTTTTGTTCAACTTTGTCGCCCATGCAGTACTGAAATGAACGCTGGAGTCTTCAAAAGCCCGGTGTTCAGGTTGTTGCTGGCGAGACGATATCGCCTTCACCTTTTAAGACGAAAGTGAAACGCAGGTTCCGTTGAATAAACTGATCAGCATCATAC